GATCCATCCCCACACACCTCCACAACCGACCACCTTGCCCTTGAATTCCCCAACACTGGAGAATCCAACATTCATGGGTCCGAGGACTCCTCTCCCACCTATATCTGACAAGGCCATTGTCCCCTACATAAGCAGCTGGAGCCATGGGTCCAAAGCAAACAAGCTACAGGCCCTGACCTCATCACTCAATGTTCTGTGCTACTACAAAGGATAGAATAGAATCCATCTCACATAATGGCATGTAGGTGTGTAATGTGTATTCACCCTATCTATCTTAATAAACTGCCGTTTGGAGTTGAGTAAGAGGGGTTGCTTGCCAATCATCCAGTTTCTTGAAAGAGGCTAACTCCACAGAAAGTCTTGTAAATGATGACAGAAATGAAGGACTGGAAATACACAGGAGAGTGCCTGGACAAGGTGGAGGATGGTTATCTGGGCTTGACTGTGTTTATGTTTAGACATGAGTCCACAAACTGCCCCTGATGCTTCATGCATCCTACCTGCTGCTGCTGCTGTTTGGTATACTTGTCGTATATCTTCAAGTTGGCCTCCACACATAGCCTCTTTGTTTTCTTAGTACACTCTTCCAGTGCAATCTGCTCCCTTAGCAGCTGCCTGTTCTCGTTCCACAGAATTTTTACTTGATTCTTTATATGAAGAGACTCTGTCAGGAGCTGACAGTTCCTGTTGCTGAACCACAAAGAAGAAATGGTGATTTGCAGGCAGCATCCATCTTCCTCCCAATTCTCCAAGTACCAGCCCTTCTCACCATGGGCCCTGGTCCCCAGACAGACGCAGACTACAGACCAGAGCAGCCATAGAACATCACATATAAGAAGGTCAAATCGAGAAGAGAGTAACATTCCAGAAGACTCAAAGTACTTCTGAAAACCGTGACACCAACAGGGCCTCATATATCAAGCAGAAGAGTACATAGGTCTCATGATTGTCTGTATGTCCAGATATTAGAAAACCACCTGTAGGTAGAGGGCAAACCTTATCCAGGAGAGGAGAACAGACTCAACAGATATACAATCGTTCTATGTGTCTCTTGAAACCAGATATAAATCTCCAGTCCCAGAGACTCCGGGTTTACTGGTATCTCCATTACGGTGCACACCTTTTCTATATAGAGGATGCTGAGTTGGGAAGGACAATGATTGGAGGGGCTCACAGAGTCATCACACCTGATCAAAATGAGTCCAAGAGGTAAAAATCCTAGAGCCTTTCTTTGAGGGAGGCAAGCTTCCTGTTGAAAGGCAAACAGTATAGAACCAGAGCCCTCACTTTGTTTAAAAGACAATGATGGGCAGACACATTTTGGGTCTAGTGCTGGGGTAATGACACTGTTAGACACTCACCAGTAAAGTTGATTTTCTTTAGTCAGCTCCTTGCACTTGTACAAGGCCTCACTGATCTCCTGAGGAATTTTCTTGAGATCGGTCATTACCTGGTCGTGTTGCATCTCAAGTATCATGTTCTCAAAGTTGGTCCTGTGGGAGGGCATGGCCCAAGGAGCAAATAATCCTCTGAACTAAGGATTCAAGTATTACATAAATTCAAGTTGACTCATGGACTACCCCAGCCCATATATACCACATCCTGGCTCCTTTGTCCTTTTGCTGCTTATTAAACTTGTTATTCTTAGTCTGGGGCCATTAGAGCTAGGGAACGAAAAGAAGGGAGCTGACCTGCATTAGCTCCCTGAGTGTGCTTGAAGGAATAGATTAGGTTTTAAGAACTTTCCAGGAGCCTGTACCACAGTCCTGGGTTCAACTTAAACCTGTGATGGCTCCTTTTCTCTTTCTAGACAAGGTTTTCTCAATCTTTGGTTCTATTGCTACCTAAATTCCCAAAGGACATAATCAGTATTTACAGGGAAAAGGGTTTATTACATATATCAGCAGGTTCCAATGCCCATCAGAGGTGACCACAGAGGTCACGTGCTATGCTGCTACAAGTTACTCTCCTTGGCTTCATCACTATCATTACCTGAAGAGTCAGACAGGTAAATGATCAGGCCCCATCACACTGCTCAGACTCTCTGGATCTTAAGGGGAACACACACACAACACAGACAGACAGACAGACAGACAGACAGACAGACTGACACACACACACACACACACACACACACACAATTTGAATTCCAAATAAATACATTGATGTGACATTATCTCAGAGTATAATCAAATAAATTTGAGAAAGACATGATGACTTGTAGTAAATCCAGTCACACTGAGAGGCAGCTTGTAGAACCAGGTCCTTCCTGCTGTTGACAGGACTAAATGGACCCAAAGCAGGAAATTACAAAAATATATGGCCAAAACCACACAGCAGCTAGCATCTCTCACAAAGCAACACCAGTCTAGGCTTCTTAAAATGCATGATGAGAGCTAGCACACTACTGCCATTAGTTCCAGACTGTGATTCAAGCTATGGGCTCTGATTTACTTTTGGAGAATCATAATATCCTGTGACCCCATCTCACTCCTATCGCAACTTCAAGTTCTGTGGCTAAAATCCTATCAGAAAAATGAATTTGGACATTAGGACAGCCTGGAGTTGTAGCCTCCTATGATATGAGGAAATCGGGGATCAACAGATAGGACCCTAGATAGTCAGCTGAGACCTGGGCATAATGACTACCTGTCATTCAAATCCCTGTTAGTATAATGTGCCAAGATTCCCAGGAGTTCATCTCTCTCCTTGTTCATCATCTCAAGATCCCTTTTGAGTTTCTCCAACCTCTTCATTCTCTGCTCCTGCTCACTCATGGTGTAGGCTTGGGATGATTCTTTCCCAACAGACCCTTTAGGTAGATAAACACAAGTAAACTTGTAGAGAAATACAACACGGAAAGGAGAAACCATGCTTAGTCCCAAACAGAAGCCTGAGGAAGAAGGCATTCTAGAGACACAGAGAATCCCTGAAAGAGCAAGAAAGCTGTCTTCAGGCTGGTCTCCTCACCTATGTCCCTGCTCCACACCACCATCACTAGACATATGGCTCAGTCCCTACTGCAGACCCACTAAACCTGAAGTGCATAAGCTTTCCAGTAAAGAAGAAATTCATGACACTGTAAGCTTATATCTGACAATGTAGTCTGTACTGCTTAGCACAAAAAAGATTGACCATAACCACCAGCACCAAATATCTCTCACAAACCCACAGCTATCCATGCTTCTTAACTGCATGGAGAGAGATCACACACTACTATATGTACCTCAGACTGTGAGTCTGCCCACATCATGTGTGTTCAAGACCAAAATGTCTGAGATCTTTATACATGACAGGGGAATATCTCTCTCTGTTCTTGGCATCACATAATTATGTAACCTACAGGAGTCTATTGAGGATGAAATCCTTCAGCACTCTATCCTGAGAGCAAGACTGTTATTCTCACAGAACTTGCTCCTGGCATCCTTTGCCACTCAGCAGGAAATTCAGATCTATCAGCAAAGCAACTGCAGGCTTGTCAATTCCTGGATCTCTGCCAAAGTAATCATCAGAAATTCTTGACTCTGGTTCTGCCATTGAGCAATGTGGAGGCTCCAGATTTTAAGCACTTTTCCTGTAAGGACCTGCTCAAGCCCCCCTCCTCCAGGAAGATCCCCCAACCATTGCCCAGGACTCACTGTGCCTTCCCCAGGGCCATGTCCTTCTTCCTGGTTTATGAAATGTCTTCTGCCTAGGTCTGGTCTCTGGTTGTATTCTATTGTCCCTCCGAAATATCCTGCGCAGCATGGACAACATGACTGCTTGTGAACCCAGCAGCTCTGAAGGAATACTCCACAGGCAGTTGGTGTCACCACAACACTGGTGACATCACAGAAGATTCTAGGGTTCTCCTGGAAACAAGAGAATGTCCAGGGAAGTGACTACTGATGATGTCATCGGGAACTGCCATAGCCTACCTGCTGACCAGATTGCTTCATTTCACCTGTTTCTGAGGTGCTCTTTCTTGAAGTCTCTCTTTTGACTCAGGGGATACCCCTTGGCAACTTCTCCTTTCAAAGCTAGAGATTTATCTCTGCCTCATTACAAATCAAGCATTTTGGATGGGGAGAGTTGGTGAGAGCCTTGGCATGGGTAGCTCATCTTTGTTAGGACCTAATGCTCTAGGATCCTTGCTTGAGGGAGATTCTTCTCCAGGATTACTCTCCCCCTGTGCCCCTGTGCTCCATTCATGTGACACAGTCCAATTCCCCAGGTGATCCTCTTTCTCAGAGGCAAAAATCATTCTCCTGCACCTTTAACTTTATGCAAGTTGGATTATATTTTCTTATTGTGCACATGCCTTAAGTGGAGACATTGTTTGAATATATTCAGACATGTGTTTTCACAATCCCATTTTTTGCAATGTAAACTCCCTTGTTCTTGGCAGTATAGGAAGGAGTTCATGTTCAGGGGGAATATCAAATTGTATAGTTTATGTGTCTTCTTCAAAAGATAAAATCTCAGATTCTCCCTTTCTCCAGTACAATGAGATAAAGTAGGCATCTATGAGCAAAGATCAACAGGGACATTGCATTGCTGCTCTGTAGTTCCATTAGCTATCACTTCTCCAGTATCTACTTCTGAGTTCACATTCCCAGGCCTGAGGGTGTTGGCGTTTGGACTATGATCCCGTACTTATAATATACCCAAGACTCAATAGGATGAAAAGGGGATGGAAATGCCTCAGATCCAGTGAACCCTCAATTTCAATGGGTCCATAATCTCAGGAGAGACTGTGTTTGTCACTGTCATCTGTGGCTTCTGCCTTCTTGAGCTGGGTATGCTGAATTTATGGCACAATGTGTGATCTCACCTCTCAAATGTCAGAGTGGAAAAATCATGCCAGTTCTTTCCAAACTAAGTGTGTTGTCCAGGGCCACCTCCTTCAGCCAGGTATTATCACTATGACAACAATCAAAGGTAGGAATTATGCAGAGACGTGGCAGTGAATTTATTAATTAAAATGCAAAGGATTTGGAATAATAGTCAATCTTAGTACAGAAAAATATGAATTTCATTATGTAGTTGTGCTTTTAATGAGAAAAGCATAAATAACAGGGTGATTTCAATAAACAAAATTATGAATTTCATTGTATAGTCTTGCTCTTTGATTTTATATTTTTAAAACAGATGAATTAATGATCAGGATGTTTAGAAAAAGCTATTTAAATAACTAGTGAACCTCTCCAGACACAATCTGTTCCCCAACAAGTTAATACTTCTCTGTCCACCGTGTTTTGTGCTAGTCAGCAATTCAAAAGAAAAATGTGTTGAATAATTTGTTGTTTCCACAAGGGATAAACAGAAATAAAAAATTTTAAAGACTCAAATGAATACCACAGAGTGTTTCTTACCTTTTTCCTTTCTGAACTGCTTGCTTATTTAAGTCTTTCTTTTCATAGCTCCAAGTGTGCTGGAGGAGAAACTTCCATTGCTGTTGTATGTTTGGATTCTTCTAATTTCACACAGTATTAATCCCCTCAGTACTCCACTGTCGCCAGTGACTAAGAATGACCTCTCTTGCCATCTGACCTAAATCATTCTTCTACCCAATGTCTTTCTATTCATGCCACCCAGAAAGAAAATGGCTCTTTAATTCCCGAATGTTAACCCAGCCTGAATGTACCAGTGAGAACAGTTTTCTGGCTAAATATTATGATACAAGTAAGAGAGCTAAATTGAAAAATAATTTTGTTTTATGTGGTATATGCTTGTGACTTGTATAGTTGCTCTTTAAATATTTAAAAAGGTAAGTGTTTGGACCAAAATACCTGCCACTTTTTAAATGATGTAGCAAGAGACATTGCTATTGACCAAAAGTGAGATTCTTTGCGCAAAGATAGCTTATTTGGTTTAAACAGTGAGTCACCGTTGACATGGTGGACTCTCTGGTAATCTACCATAGTTCCCATGAAAATGCTTACAAAACTACTATTATACAGGCCATCATGACTTTTGCTTCTAAACTGTGAAGCACAGGTGTTCGAAAGGACTCAAAGGGCTCAGGAGATGGTCTGGTCCAGTTCATTCACAGAAATGGAAGACCCAGGGTTTTCAAGGACCCATGGAGGTTATACAGCTGAGCTCCTAGAACTGGTCAAGTCACCTCCATTGTACCAAACAGCTTCTGCTACAGGCATCTGAGCTCAGAGATCAGCAGATTAGAATGGAGTTCCCTTCCCAACACTAGGAGTTTCAGAATAGACTTGAAGTATACAGATTTTAATTATTAGCTATTATAGGCATTATTTTACTGAGTAACTGTCATCTTCTAGGTTCCCCTGAGGCTTCATTTTCCAAAGTTCTTCTGGGTTTATAATATCTTTACTGATCTCCATGAATGCTATAAAATAGTCTGGCTTCAGCCACCTAAAAAAGAAAATTAAAGTCTGTTCCATTTATGATACTATTGTTTTGTTGTTGCTTTGTTTTTGAGACAGGGCTTCTCTTATCTATGTATCCCTGGCTGTCCTTGACCTCGCTGTCTTCAAATTCAGAGATCTTCCTGTCTCCGTCTCTCGAATGCTGGAATTAAAGGCATGCACCGCCATTGTCCGGCTACAATATTTTTATTTGATGGAGCAATATAAAGTATTTATTCACTTGAGAACTAGAGCTGGCCCGCTCTTGAGACCCGCTTCACCCTTTCTCGCCCCGCAGCAGATTCCCAAGGCCTGCGGAGGTGGGGAGCAAGTGGTCTGCGAACGAGACCCGGGACTCACCCCCTCCTCCGTGGGATCCGATCTCGCTGCCCGGACCTCCAGTCCCACGCGGAGCCTGATTCTTGCTGCGGAGCACAGCCTGCTCCACAGACCCCGCCCCTCGGCCGCCGCGCGCACAGCGCCCCCTGCTGACGACCCGATCCTGCTGAAACTCAGGGAAGCTGAGGTGGCGGTGAGAGGGATTTCTCCAGTGGTGATCCTTCTCAAAGCAATGGGACATGGAATTACCTGCAGGGCTCACTGGAAACCAACTGACTCCTGGGACCTGTTCCATTCAGGGATCAGGTCTGGAAGAAATCTACAGTTGTGCATTTCGCCGGTTGCCGGGTGATACTGTACTGATCCTAGATCACACTTGGAGACCAACTGCTCTGTAGCTAATAAGTGGTCTCTGCACACACATAGCAGTTTCCCAGAGAACTAGCTGTTAGCACAGCCAAAGAATGAATCTGAGTTTGTGAGTGGCTTTCCAGAGCACTCATGCATTACAAGCCAAAAACAAAAACAAAAAACAAACAAACAAAAAACAAAACAAAACAAAACAACAACAGAAGAACCCAAAAAAACCTTGCTGTCAATATCTGAAAAATTCAGCAGGGAATCTACTCCTCTGAAATGGAGGCCGACTACGTAATTACAAACTGAGATCTCAATTACAGCATCTCAGTAATTTCATGCACAGCATTCCCAGACTAGTCTGATTAGGAAATGTAAAGAAAAATAAACTCCCGCCAACATTTTCCACGATTATCCTTTTTTCCCACAGGGAGCCAAATACTGAGAAAAAAAATTTTTAAATTATTTCTTTTTGTTTCATTTTATTTTTTTGAGACAGGGTCTCACTATGTGGTTTGACTGTCTTGAAGTATGTATTTATTTACTTACTGACTTATTTACTTATTGTAGGTATGTGAATGAATATTATGATACACACATTGAGGTCAGATGGAAACTAGGTGTGGTGGTCACAAGAAGCAAGGGTTGAGAGAATTTCAAAATAAACCAGTAGTTCCGACCCCAGGAATCCTTCCACAGAGTTCTGTAGATTCAACTCAGACTCAAGACACTGCAACTCCCAAGGTAGAACTGGGTCTCTACCCTGAGTACTGTTTTTAATGTGACCCTGGTTCGCAAACTTTCCCTCTTTCTGACATCAGCCTGTTTCTGTCTCCTGAGAGCTAAAATTAAAGGGATTTTCTGCACTCTAGTGTTCTGCATATTTTAATGCTTTGTGTATTATTTTTGGATTCACTGACTTACATCAGATAGTGTAAAAGGCCTTGAAGATTAAGTTAGCCTGGTCTGACCCCTTGTGGTAAAATAGACTCTTGCAGCTTTTATTTCTAAGGAAGCTAGAAAATCCTTAAAATGAGGATTAGAGAAACTTCTAGTTAGTGGGCTAAAGCTCACAACCACAGGGAAAAGGGTCCGGTTCCAAGCACCCAGCTTGTCCTTCAGTTTCCCCTTTGCTGGCCAGCATCTTCATAATAAAGTTGATACACCAGAAGGTTATATAAATTAGGGCCTACAAATAAGTCTGTACACTCAAAGTGCACTCAAATACTTTTATTACATTTATTTATTTACTGTAGCTATGTGGCTGAATGTTACTGCACCCATGTAAAAGTCAGATGATAACTCATTGTGGTGGTGACAAGGAGCAAGGGTTGAGAGGATCTTAAAATAAACCTGTAACTCGGACTCCAGAGACTTCTTTCCTCTCACCATGGAGTTCTGCTTTGTCCAGGATACCCATAGCTCCCGTCCTGCTTTTTCTGACGCACACTGCACACAGCAGCACTGACCTGGATATGTTACTGCTTCCTTGGCTTTGAAATGGCTGTTGAGCCTAATCTACTTAACGCTTTGTTCATTCTCAAGTAGGCACTTTTTACATTAGTTGCAAATTGAAGTTTCTTAAGTTCTCAGCTCAAAGTATGATAGAGGCTCTTACTGTTCACACACAGGTATGCCTAATAATGAACTGGTCCAGACCTATAACATGGAGAAATGAGCAATGGCAGTTAAACAGTTGGAGCAGAATTCTCTGAAATGCTAAGTTACAGAAAGATTTACAATTACACTTTTCAGATGATCCCTCTGAGACTCTAAAATGTCATCATTTATCAAAGGTGTTTCAAGAGTGGAGCAGGAATCCTAAGATCTGTCTGTGATGTTGGGTTTAACTTAATTGTGGATGATGCACTTCATATCCTGGACACATCCTTAATGGCACACACAATAGACAGCATGTATCTAGGAGAGTCCACAGTAACTTATACTCCATAAGGTTCGGAGTATCCATCTTGAAAAATAGCATACCCTCCTCTCTTAAACACCACAACATCCCCAACTTAGTCCATTTGCAGACATCCCTGGGGTTCAGATTAACCACGTAATACATATCATTATTCTCTCCAGTGGGATTCATGGCTGCATGGTAAATCATTTGTAGCGCCCTTAAGTTCTGTTTTCCACCAAGATTCAGCAAGTGTTGATTATTCTGAGAAGTTGAATTTGTCTTCCACATTGATATTTTGGCCATCTGAGGCTCATGTACAAACCTCACCAGCTGCAGGTACAACACTGGTTGAAAGCTCAGGTCGTGCTCTCTGAAGGTCATGTTTGTTGTTGTTGTCCAGTTGTACTGTCACGTGATTCACAAGTGAATTCCATATATGATTCCTTTACTCTTAGCTGGATCTCATCAGAATTTCTGGGTCTGGGAGACAACATCTTTGCCCTGAATGTAGTTCATCATGCTGCCCCTGCATACTTTTGGAATGGTGCCTTCTGTGCACATGCCTTTAAGCTGATTTCACATTATCTAACAATACTCAACACAGTTCTTGAGTGTCAGGGAGTTACCTGAAATTTCCCAGCCAAATAATTGTTAGTTCCTACAGGGTTTTACATTGTGTAGTAATGTATAGAATACACTTTATTGACCTAAGGAATGCTTTTTGATAATTTGTTGGTCTCTTCTGTCATAATATATAAAGCATTTGATAGCAGCTCTGTGAAGAGGAATTAAGTCAACAGCAGGCTATTCCTGTAATATGTTGCCCACAGTATGATTTTTTCAGCCAATTCTTTCATGTCTGTGCGCTAATTCATGATCCAACAAATCCATGGGGATTATCTTCTGTCCAAAGAGGTCAAATGTGACTCAGAAGTCCTCTATAAATTCATTCCTGGTCCAATCAATGCCAATGACTCTAGCTTTTGCATCCACTTGATGGGTAAATACAAACGGGCAGACATTGGCTGTCAATGAAAGAGCTGCTGACTGGGGTAGCTTCAGATACCAACAGGATTTTCTGCCAAAGGCAGCCAGCAATTACACAAGTTACTCAACAGACTTTTTTCCTGAGGTAGCAAAATCTAATTTACTGGGAATGGCACCCTGTGGCCAGTGCATAAGCTATGAACATTTTTAATTCCTTGGGGCCAGTGAGAAAGAGAAAGAAAAAGAGAAAATTCACATGTACACACACACACACACACACACACACACACACACACTGAATGAATAAGGAAAAGGCAGAATCCAATAAGTTTATACATACAAATATACATGCATAGATACACACACACACACACACACACACTTACATTTATTCAGGCCTACAGATAGACACATTCATATTCACACACTGAAACTTTAGCACAAAGCTCCAACAAGCAGGCTCCAAGTATTCCACAGATGCATACGTACATGCATACATACATACATAAACACAATTGGTGGATAGTAGGAACAATGTGCCAACCCCCTCTAACAGAACCTTTAGAGGTATACACACTGTCGATCAGTAGAAGAGTCAGTTCTCCACCACACCACACCATGCTTTATTTGTTCATCCATCGTTTGTGCATCTCAGCAAATTCTTTCAAGGAGTATACAATTACAATATGACTGTGTTTCAGTTTCCTTCTGGTAAATGATTCTGAAAAAACAATATGTTAATACACTTTTAACATTAAACGAATTAACATTATGTATTAAGGTAAAAAACCAAAATTATTCTTTTTTTTTTTAACTAGGCAAAGAATTTTATTAACCTTTTCCAAACTTTATTCCCAGGCTTTTTCAGCTTAATTTGCCGCAAAGAATTAGATATAAGCAAAAACTGAAAAGAGCTGCACTGTCCGGGGGCTTGGGCTTAAAAATATTAAAGATCTAGATTTCATCAGATCCATAATAAACAAAAAATTTTTAAAAAGCAGTCATGATATAAAATAGCAGCTCCTGTAACTTCTGCAAATGTCATCTTCTTCAGAAGTTGCTTCCATTCAGTTCGCCTCATTCTTAGAAGCCTCATCAACATTCTCCACCAGATCTGGAACTTCATCTTCATCATCCTCTCCAGGAGCAAGTGGTGCTTTTCCATCCACAGATTGTTTGGGCAGAGCTTTGGCCAGTCTCCTTAAGCTAGTCAGACTGTCTGCACCGAGCTGGTTTAGGATGCTGGGAAGCATGTCTGTAAGCTGCTTTGTCTCAGCGTGGCCTGTAATGGTGAAGGTGTTTGCTGCCAGAGACCCCTGAACTTTAGGGTTGTTAAAATGGATCACTGTTCCTTGGTTTGTAAACATGTTCACCTCTTCAATACCAGAG